ATAAAATCATTCAGAATGTGGAGTATGACCAAAATCTGTATTGCACATTTTGTATACAGCTATAGTTTGAACTAAATCACAAACCCAAGGCAAAGTCCATTGAGAGTTCTAAATGTTATTTTGAAGTCTTAAGAAACAAGAAATGCATCTGCTGACTTGTACTTGCTCAGTATTAGTCTTAATATGTGAAAACCACAAAAACCGTATTTATTTCTTTTAAAAGGATTGTGTCAAATTCTTTCAAGGTAGAATAATATTAGATTTTGAAATGTATTTTAATATGTACAATATATGCAGAATGTTAAGTTACAATAAAGTAAGCTAACTACATATCCTAAAGGAAAGCAGTGATAAAAATAGAACTTTTATTCACGAAGTAAAATTATATTAATGAAATTACCATCTGCAACAGTTCACTTCCCTCAGTGATTAGCAAAATCACACATTTAATTAGTTATTAAATAGACGTATGAAATTATATTTGAACCATTTAGTGGTTCTGATCATGACAAGATAGATGTATAAGAAACTAGAATATGGGGGATCTAGTATGACCTACTGGACCTTCAGATAATCTCTAGTGTCCAGGCTTATGATCCAACAACAGATTGGAAATTTTCCAAACAAAATTTAACCTGCCCATGACAAACTAGTTTATCATTAAAGTGGAGTTGTTTGGGAGGTTTTTTTCCCAACTAGATAGGAAACCTTTGAGCTTAAAATGTTAAAATGAACTATGGTTTATTCTGGGAAGGTTCTATTCACACATCATGCAGGAGCAGGCTGTAAGATAAAGCTGACTAAAATTCTGCAGTCATTACTGAATCTAAAATAAGTTCTTATTTTGTATAAGTAATAAGATAAACTACTTCAACTGTACCAGACAGTCAGGTAAGTACATAGTTAAGTACTTCGGTAAATGCATAGTTAGGCACTTTCCTGTGGCAGACATTTTCTTAATAATTGTATCCACTTGAATTAAAAAGTCTTGATTTTTGCAGTTTCATTTACAGTTGAGCCTTCTGTTGTAACTCTTCTTACTTGCAAGTAAAATGGCTCTTCACAGAATGCTAAAAAAGACAACATAACACATTGTCAGAAGCTGCAAAGCACAGAAGCATCTTAAAGAAAGCTTGGAAAAAAAAAAAAGGAATTGACTGCAGTTCAGTATCAGGAATTAATTCAGAGAGCTTGAGTGGAGAAAGAAGTAAAACTTGCCAAAAAAAACCTTATTTTCAGGGCTTTCTCTAATCCAGAGGCACTGGATTTACAGCAGTGGACATCTCAGTCTTTTTTTCAGAGCTTGATACCTCAATGTTCTCGATCAATTTTGTCTGATGTTTTGAGGATAAAAGCAGGACCACCATGAAGAAATTTCCTGATGATAAAAAGTTGTGAGGAATTGTCAGTACAGAGGAAGAAACCTATGTCTTTGAGGGCAAGATCAAGAAGAACAAAATGAAATTTAAAAGTATTGCATAGTAAAGGCCATGTTCCAGGACTAATTATAAGACTATCTTGACAATGGTGTTAGTCATTTTGTTTAGTTTTAGTTAGTCCTGTGTGGAGCAGGGAGTTGGACTCGATAATCCTCATGGGTCCCTTCCAACTGGAGATATTCTGTGACTCTACATTAACCCTGGTCTCATTAACTTGGAAGTGCCATTGGAGGACAATGTCCTGGGTATATTAGTAAATCATAAATAAATGACCAGTGTGATATGATCGGAAAAAAACCCTCCAAAGTTGTAATTAGAAAACGTGGTGATAAAATCTCATCTGGAATGTAGGTAGGTTTCCGGTCATGCATGGTCAAGGAAGATAAATTCGAATTGGAAAATATGCTTACCAAGACTGTAGAGAATGTTAGAGAAATAACCCCAAAATTTGTGTGATTTAGAGGTGAATATATCTAGACAAAAAGTTAGAAGAAAAAGTGTGTGCTGGGAGAGGCTTCCATGTGCGAAAACATATCTCACATTATTTTAAGATGGAAATAAGTATGACTAAAGTCAGCAGGCCAGAGGTCCAGAGCTGTGTGTTCTTCTCAACTCCATTCCAACAGATCTAAGCCTCCACATATTGTACATGTTTTTTGACATAGGAGTCAAACTTCTATAAAAATTCTTCTTTTAATACCAGAAACAGGGTGGGGTGTCCCCATAATGATGTTTACATCTTGCATTTTTTTTCTTGCTTTCCTTTCTTAGTGAAGATGAATAAATATTGGAAACATAGCTGAAAAGTACGCAGTTAACAGGGTCACAATGCTGCCTAACAAATATGAAGCATAATTAAGACTGTGTTTAAATTTAAAAAGCCTGTGACAATTTTCTTTTTCAGTTTCTTTCCACACCGTTTCAGACAGGGACATGTCTTGTTAATAGGAACTTACTGTCTTCTTCTGCGATGTACAGGAGCCCTGGCAAGTATGAAGATATTCAGGGACAATTCCTACTTTAAAAGGAATCATAGAATCATAGAATCATAGAATGGTTTGGATTGGAAGGCACCTTACAGATCATCCAGTTCCAACCCCCCTGCCATGGGCAGGGACACCTTCCACTACGCCAGGTTGCACAACATCCCATCCAACCTGGCCTTGAACATTTCCAGGGAGGTGACATCCACAGCTTCTCTGGGCAATCTGTTCCAGCGTCTCACAACCCTCATAGTAAAGAATTTCTTCCTTCTACCTAATCTAAATCTCCCCTCTTTCAGCTTAGAAGCCATTATCCCTTGTCCTATCACTACATGCCCTGGTAAAAAGTCCCTCTCCAGCTTTCCTGTAGGCCCCCTTCAGGTGCTGGAAGGCTGCTATAAAGTCTCCCCACAGCCTTCTCTTCTCCAGGCTGAACAACCCCAACTCTCTCAGCCTTTCCTCATAAGAGTTGCTGGAGCATTTCATATTATCTTATTGGAAAAGGCAATGAAAAATTTGCAATGTGAAAAATCAAAGCAATTTATTTGGAAAATTTCAAAGCATGACATTTTTAATTTTAATACTTTTATATCTTCCTGGTTTTCAGCAAAATTAAAGTTCAGAACAAGAGTACCATATATTGTGAACTGTGTTGATTTTGATGAAACTGCATATTTAAGTTAGATCAGCTCTTTTTATCCAAATATGTCCATGCCTTTCTGTTATAGTATGTATAAACTGTGGTTAATTTCAGTATATCATAGGGAAATTTGTGAAAAAAGACCTGTTTCTAACAGTGTCATTTAAAGGAAAAAAACACTGATGAACTAAAAGAGACTGGTATACTATTTTTATCTAGCTTTATGAAAATCTACACTTCTGATGAAAAGGAACTTACAGTGCAACACTGTGTTAAAATCATTCTGAATCTATCTTCATAGATACTTTAAAATATTATTCTTCGTGATTAGTTCTACTTATTTATGTGTGATTTGTTTTCAGAACAGAATGGAAACAATGATATAATGAAAATTTCATTTCTTGTGTAATAATGGGTAAATGGTTTTACTGAATAAATGAGAAGAAATTAATTTTAAAGTACAAGTAAAGTAGTGTTCCGGAAATCACTTTTTGTGTCATCTGAGACAGTGGGAATCAAAAACCTTGAGAATCATGCTGTACAGCAGGTTGTCTAAAACAGCAAGGCTCTTCTTAAGTTAATGGCTGTTGTATGTTTTAAATTTACCCAGAAGCAACATCTGATCATTCTAGGGTGTGTATTTTCTTACTAGTTATAACAGCCACTCAGTTTAAGAGTCCAAAATCAAGTAATGCTAAAAATACAGTTTTTAGAAAATATAATGTCCGTAAATTCAGGATTCCCCATATTTCTTTATTTATTTCTATGTAACTCACTCCAATCTATCAATGTCTTTTATGTACTGGTGAGTCCAGAACTGGACCCATCACTCCAGATATGGCCTAACCAGTAGTGAGCAGAGGAGAAGGATGCCCTCCCTTGACCTGCTGGCAATGCATTTCATAATGCAGCCTGGGATGCTGCTGGCATTTTTTGCTGCAAGGGCACATTGCTGCTCATGTTGAGTTTGAGGACCCCTAGATCCTTTTCTGAAAAGTTGCTTCCCAGCTACTCTGTCCACAGCATGTGCTGGTTCCCTCATACAGGACCTTACATTTCCCTTCATTAAACTCCATGAGGTACCTGTCAGCCTGCGATTAAAGAAAATAGCAGGGGCTAATTTTCAAGCATCATGATAAGTGAAAAATGTCCCATAACTGAAACTGAGTTCACAGGGTTGACCGTTCCTCCTTTGTTGTAATCTTTGCTTCTGCATGTGTAATTGACTAAATGTTAAAAAGAATTCTGATTGTGATGGATAAAAATGAATTTTAAAATCGGTCCATTTTATTTTTCTCTGGACTGTAGTAAAAACAGCAAGAGCATATCTTTCACTTTACAGACAAGTATTAGGTAAGTCACACTTATGAACATAAATACATATGATTGACAGGTGTCAAATAAGAAAGTACAGTGTTTTGAGATTTGTCAAATGAGAAGGTTTAGCTTTTGAGTGATTTTATGAGGTATGTCACATTTTAATTCTGAAAATAACTTTTCTTAAAAAGGAATTTGTGTCTTCTTAGTGGAGTAAGAGTTCCCATTCATTAATACTTCTATTAAGTAGCTATTTACACAGTTATATGAGAAAGCACTGGAGTTTTAGCAATCTACCTTTTGGCTAGGACTGTTATATAAATTGGTATAATTATTTATGAATATAATAGGTCTTTTGATATATATTATTTTAATTTTTTTCATATTCTCAAGCATGTTGATTGTCTAGCAGCATCTGGCATTGTTTTATATATAAATATTTATATATACATATATATAAAAGCACAAATTGCAAAAGTCAGCTTATTTTGACTATAGAAAACCTTTGCATTTCCAGAAAATCTGCCATGCTCCACCTTTCCTGAAAAGAAGGGTTATGCCAGTCTTTCCTCTTGCTAATCCTGATCTTTCTTTTGTTTCTTTGTTTTCTTTCCATCATAGGTGTCATCAGGACTGCCTTGCACAACATGGACAGGGAAGCCAGAGAGCATTATTCCGTTGTCATTCAAGCCAAAGATATGGCTGGGCAGGTCGGAGGGCTGTCAGGGTCAACAACTGTAAACATCACACTCACTGATGTCAACGACAATCCACCCAGGTTTCCTCAGAGTATGTACAATTTCAGCATACAATTGGTTTGAAAATCGTGTTAATTTTCAGTGAAGTAAGAAGCTATTAGTGAAATCCAATTACTATTCAAATTCATGGGGAGAAGGCAGCTCGGGAAGTGTTTGAATTCACCAATATTTTTCAGTTTTCCATTGTTTTCAGATGAAGCAGAGGTGACATAGCTAGAATACTGAAATCGGTGAAGATTTATTTCAATTAAACACTGAATAAGACTGAGATGGGTGACAAAGGAATACTGTTGTCATATGTGGGTTGTTCTTCAGTCGTTTTTAAATGTATATTTCAATAATGGTGTGATTTTGATCCCACAAGTGAATTATGTTGTTCGCCATGGTAGTCAACAACAAAAGGTAACACATCAAAAGACTGAATCCCGCATGACTTTGGCTGCTTCCATACACATCTATCAATTTTTTTCTTCTGTTTCTTTCTCTACACCCTTTGAAGATCACTTTTTACATTACAGATGGTTAAAACCTAAGCTGTTTCTCATTGCTGAGCTGCGGTGGAGTCTGCCTGCATCTTAGTTAAATGAATTGTCAATGTTGATGTCAAAATGAATGTTCTGATATGCATATATGAAAAGTATATGCTGGAATACACTTAGAATATCTTAATATGACCACTAATAGGAAGTTCATTTCTATCCAACTCATTGTGTGAACAGCATCTGGAGTCTTGTAGGAAATCCAAATTCAGTCGACAATTTATTTACAAGTCTTCTAGAACGTAATTGCATAGCTAAGCCTGCTTTCCTTCATAGAGTGGCTGAAGGCCAATAAGAATATTGTAATCTCGACTCAGACATTGCATGAGCCCTTTTAGAACATAATGGACTAGTAGCTATAGGTACATCCACTGGGAAATGCATTAAGCTTTTTGAATGAGAAGATTCATAAACATTAATAGAGATCACAAAGCTCTGGGGAAAAATAAAGCTCCCTGGCAATGCACATTATGTAAAATCTGGTCAAGCAGTAAGAAGGCTCATTACAAGTGTTGTAGAACTGATTATTTTTTCTGCGCCTCACAAACACATAAAAAACATAAAGCCTTTGAAACACAGCCTTAAATAAAGTATATTTGGTTTTATGTTCCACAGAATTGTCATTGCATCCATCACTCTATTTAATACTTCCTAACAATTGGAAAGGCAAAAGGTAAGGCATGTCTTTGAACAAATATAACATCTAAAATAGTTAAAGTATAAAAATGTCCTAAGTTTCCTGCAAAGTCAGAGACAAATGGATCCCTACCTATCAGGTTTCAAGAATTGGCCTCTTTTATTTTGAATGGAAGGTTTGGGATATGAAACTGACTGGCAGGCAGAACTGTACATTGGCACATATATTTCTTTATCTCTGTTAATATTTTTTCACAAATGGAAGAAATCTAAAATGTTTAGGTTATATTGTATACATTTTATGGATTCTAATGTTTAAAACAAATAACATTGAAAATTACAAAACATCATTTTACTTTTGATGAAAACTAATTATTTAACAAAGCAAAGTAAAAAATGTATTTTAACATTATCATTTTTAAGAACAAGTCTTGTAGAGTACAAACATTTACTTTGTCTTTTCTTACATGGGATTCCTGTACTACAGTTATGACTGTATCATTGCTTTTTGACTACTTTCCAGCAAGTATAATTTAAACTCTTTGCAAAAGAAGAGCAGCTATATGTTAATAATACAGAGTGAAAGTATAGATGATCCAAAACAGGCCATCTTAGCATCATGAACTATTACAATAATGCACGAGTATTGCACGAATAGAAATAATTTCTTTGTTTATTTTTCTTCTCCTTTCTTTTTATGCCATGATTTTCAGTTAAGTTTCTTTTCAATTTCCTCATTAGACGGAATCCTAAATGAGAGTTGCTGAGGCTTGTCACATTCAGAATTGAATTCAAGGGAAGTGCTAACCAAAACTGCATATATCAAGTGTATAACCCGTGGGACAGGCTGAGCCTCAGCTAAACCACAGACTCTTTTTTGGTTAGTTTCCTTTTCTCCATTACCATACTTCTGAATTTTGAATTTGACTCTAACTGTGTGAATACTTTACTTGAGAACATGCTGGAAAGCACAACTGATTGATGCTTTTATTTTTTGTTTTCTTTAGAAATATGCTTTACCGTACATATTTATTTTGGCTTTGGTAGATCAGTGTTCATTAGATGCATATGGAGTAAGATATTCAGGATTTGACCCCCTTAAAGAAACAGTATAAAAATCTATTTAAAACTTAGAAATAGAGGTTGCAAACATACTTGCCTCAATGAATTTAGTGTGTTTTTTTCTGTACTCACTCTAGATATAGCTGATTTTCTTTCAAAGAAATTGCTAACACTAGAGCTATAGTTGTCCAAAATACCAAAAAGTCTAGAAGGAAAATCACAAACCATTACTGCTTAACTTTATCAGTCTGATCGTTGCAGTTCTGAAATACATGGTAATAGTGATCTCTGGAATGGGAAACACAGCTGAAAAATTCTGCTTCCAAAACACAGTAGTATGTCTCAGAAGTAGGCACGGGGTTATGAATTCAGGAGGAGAATAACCTGAAACCTCAACTACTTCAGTACATCTTGTACAATACTGGTTTCTTTTTCTTTATTACCACAGATTTGCTTTCTTTTGAGAGTCCAGTTATAAATGAACTATCTATTTAATGAAAGCTGACAGACAATGCTCGGCATGGGAAGATTTTTGCCCTTAAATAATCAGCATCTCTCAGTTCTTTTTAGTTTTGCCACTGATAGATCCTCTCAGTTGATGGCTGAGGGTTCTAATTTCATAGTCATAAATTTATTTCAGTAATCTGATAGAAAATGTTCCATCTACTGATGACACTGTTATCAGCCTTGAGTTACATCCAAATTTTCCGTACACTTTCATTAATTCTCTCTCGTCTTGTTTAGGATTAATAGATTCTGCATGTTTTGCTTTGTTTAGGATGAATAGATTCTGATTGCATCAAGTTCATCACACTAGGCAGATGCTTCCACTGACATGTTTTGTATATCAAGTGTTAACGATTACCCTCTGGACAGTGTGTAGATCTTTAGTTATTGTGTTTAAAGTCCAATTTTGCAAGGAAATTAATTCCCTGATATCCCATTTGTAGATTTTGGTTTTTGATACATCTAGCTCAGTTCTTTAGGGTGAAGCAGAATTTAAATACAAGTCACAGCTTAAAATGTTTTTATAAAGCTTGATTGTTGAGGCTTGGTTGTTTTGTGGCAGTACATAGATATAATGTCAAATTATGTATATGCGTCATTAGTTTGCCCTCACTTTTTACAATGTCACCGTGTGAAAAGTACAAAGACAGTTTTAAATATCAATATTGTATGGAGATACTCCAGTTAGCTCTGAAAAATTAAGTTCACATCTCAGAAGTAGGCATTAACTCTGTTCTGTGCTAGTAAGGTGTATACTGTCCAGCCTTGTTAATATAACTCATTAGGTATTTAAGTGCAAAGGTATCTGCTGTTCATTTTCTTTCAGAATTTCTACTCCAATATGGTCCTTTCTGCATCTCCAGTTCATACAGCACACCTTGTTTATAGCATGTTCCAGATCCCCATACGTAATCACTGGCATCCTCTCACTCTCCACCCCCATGGACTGTAGCCGTGTCCTGTCCTCCCATGGTAGCTAGTCCAGAGCTGCCTGCCTGCTGACTGACCACCTGGCTGCTGCCAAATGAGACAAGTAAAGCAGAACATTCTCTGAGTTTCCTTTAACAGGTCTTTCTCCCGTATTCAACCAGTAATTGTTCAAAGGCTTGTGGAGTCAGAAAGTCTTTGAGGTGTCTGCCTTTTCGTTAGATTTGCCTGAAATAGGACAGGGGTTAAAAGTTACTGCAGACTATTGCATTAAAATGAAATTAATAGAAGTTTTGTGTCCTCAGGAAACTCAGATTTAAAACAAAACAAGAAAAGGACTTGGTAACTGGTTTGGCTTAGGATTGCTGACATCTGATCAACTGTAATTTACCCTTGTAAATCAGAATTTGTTCATACCTAGTAATCTAGTTTCCTGTTCATTGTGTCATCTATGTGATGATGATGAGTCTAGCAATGATACAGCGTCCAGGGAGTATTAGGAAGCATTTCATTCCAGAAATTGTTCTACATTTAAATTTTGCTTATTTAATAAGATTTTTTTTCATTTTAATTGCTGGAATGCATTTTTTCTTGTTTCACTTTACAACACTAACACCCTTGGTGACTATTCCCAATAGCTACTAGCTATAATATACTAAAAGTAAAATGTATTGCAACCAAATAGTCACAAGTATCAGTCACTGCTGAGAAGATGCTGAGGTCTTTTATTAAGACCTTAAATCACAGTAGAGAGACATGTAGAAACTTTATTTAAAGGCAGATTTGCACAGAACCCTAATATTTCTGTTCTTCAGAAGAATTATTCCTTCATATAACTTTATTCTCTTTCTTCAAAAGTGAGGTTACCATCCTGGAAATTTTATTTTATTCTCATTTTTCTCATTCCTGTGTTCCACAGACAAGTTTTTTGTGTTACCATATTCACTGTTCATTTCCGCAAGTGGTTCACAATTTAGGATATGCTTTGCTACAATTATGGTTTACGTATTACCAGCAATTTTCATCATATATGTGTTCCAGGATGTCTAAAGAAATATGGATTATATTAATATTATTTGATTATTTTTTCCATCTTACAAATTTACGCAGGATAATGCTTCCTTCCTAGTAGTTAGACAAAACTGGCTTCAGAAACAGCTCTTTGTGTAAACAGTAGACACGATGAGCCTGGTGTGCATGATCAATCTACTGTAAGGCAATTATTAATATCTCATTAAAAGATAAAATGGGTGACATATATGCACATGCCAGGGGAAATGCCAAGAAATTAGATATTTCTAGGTGATAAGGAAATACAGCAGCCTGTAGTAATTTATTTTATGTCCAAAATAGGTATTAC